TTTTAGCTTACATCAAGTTTATAGTATTATTACAGATTTTATTACATAACATCGCGCCTTTTATCCCCGAAGCTAGGCAGAAGTGCACACAGAAGTAACACCCACTTTTCACTATTTATGTTATGAGTCCCATGTAATAGGGGGTGAGCCTACTTACTACTTACGACTCTGTGGCCGACACACACGTGCGTTTTTTTTTTTAAAGGGGGAAAATCATCGAATGACTGCTCCCGCCTGGGTGAGGCGGGAGGGAGTGTCAGACTCTTACTGACTAAAAACCACCCCGTTCCTTCTCCTGCACGTCGAGCCGGAGCCCCGGTTACCCGTTAGGTTCTCCGCGACGCCTGACCACCACTAAGGTTTGACTGCACCCGACGAGGTCGACTCTCTAGCCCCGCCCAATGACCTTGAACTGACGATTGAAGCGGGGTGGTGGGCGGGGCTAGCGCCAGCGCAGGTACCCGATCAATGTATAACGCACCAGCACCACTGACTAACGGCCATTTTCTATAACCTATTTATCTGTAGATTAGCTTACTGAGATAGAATTTTGACATAAGCTCCATACAAAATGTGTCAAAATTCTATCTCAGTAGGTAAGCTAATCTACAGATAGATAGGATAAAGAAAATGGCCGTAAGGCATTACATGGGTTACATGTGGTTACATCACTAAGCAGCGATGTCATCGTTTTCCTATTAGTTAAGAGATTTGTGGGATAATTTTTTTTTAAGGCGTAAAGTCATCGAATGAGTGCTCCCGCCTGGGTGAGGTGGGAGGGAGTGTCAGACTCTTACTGACTAAAACCCACCCCGTTCCTACTCCTGCACGTCGAGCCGGAGCCCCGGTTACCCGTTAGGTTCTCCGCGGCAGTTTTGTAGGGTATGGCTTCATGTTTTTGCCAGGTTCAGGCAATAAAATTTTAAAATGATTAGTCAGCTTTAAAGTCAAAGTCAAAGCAATACCATTTATTTCAATTAGACCACAAAGGCAATTTTGAACGTCATCAAAAAATTTTACGTGAAGTTATATACTCATTTCATTCCAAGGCGTAGATTCCTATGTAGAAGAACGAGCTAAAAACTCCATGGGCTACTATTTTTCAATAAGGTTCACAATACAAATTTTAGATACACAGAATAGGCATGGCGACTATTTTTTAATTTTTTGTCCGTCTTTTAGATATTTTAAAAATCTTCGATACGTATTTTTTCTTTTTTCTCGTATCCAAAAAAACATGTAGATATTTTGAGTTAAAATGACGCGTGACGTCACAATTAGGTACGATTTCTCCGTAAGTGTGACGTCAACACCCCCCACTCCCTAACTTTAATGCGGAATAACTACGTATTCTTCTGTTAATTTGATAAAACAAAAAATACGTGTCTGATATTTTCGTGCAATCTTAATGACGGACTAATTACTTTTTTGATTTTTTTTACCCTGTCGACACGCCTGTTGTCCCCACTGTACATCCATTCACACATATCTGGCGTGTGTTAGCACCAACACAAGATATCGTATTGCAAACAATACACAATTGTTTTATACCGTACCATTATCATAACATACATACCTAAATCAATATAACAACGCCTTTTATTCCGCTTAAGGGCTATAACACACCGGGACACCATGGCAACGCAACCAGTCGCCGCCACCAAAAAGAAGTATGCAGCTCTATAGAGAGTTACTCACCTGGTGTCCCCTTTTTTTTGAGGGGGGAAAACCATCCATTGACTTTTCTCGCCCGGGTGAGGCGGGGAGTGTCAGACTCTTATTGACTAAAAACCATCCCATTCCTACTTCTGCACTTCGAGCCAGAGCCCCGGTAACCCGTTAAGTCTTCCGCGGCTCCGTATCGGTATCAGCCCTATTGGGTTCCATCTGTGGTAGTCTGATAGCTACTTAACCTGGTGTCCGCTTGGCTGCACAACCATTCTGTTGGCGGGATCAGTATCAATAGAGGTCTATTTTAGTATTGTCGGAGTGTGGTGTGTGGACTCTAGTGTCTAGTTTGGTAGCTTACGGACAATACGGTAGCGTGACTGGTAGCGCCGCCATTGTGAAATATAGCTCTAAGGTAGGTGCATTTTATTATAATGAACTGTTTTATTTAGCTTGCCTCGATTGTTTGTTTGTTTGGGTCAAAGGAATGGGAAATATTGGGCACACCTCTCAATAGGAATAAGATGCCCCGCTATAGATAGGTACTCTTATTACTTTTTTTTTATTTACTTTTTTTTATTTATTATACTTTATTTATTATTTTTATATATTATTTATTATACTATTACTAGGATATTGAAACCTGTACATTGAATATTATTTTAAAAAAATGCTTGAGGCGTGATCTACAAGCGATACCGAAGCTAAATAGTTATATGGTTTTTAGATTTTTTGTCTGTTTGTCTGTATGTATGTCCGGGCTATTATATTATAAAGCTGAAGAGTTTGTTTGTCTGTTTGTACGCGCTAATCTTCGAAACGACTGGTTCGAATTGAATAATTCTTTTTGTGTTGGATAGTCCATTTATCGAGGAAGGCTATAGGCTATAAAACATCTCGCTACGATCAATAAGAGCCGAGCAGAGCGGGTGAAACCGCGCGCAAGTAGCTAGTTGCCATATATGAGGCAAGAAAATACAAAGAAATCTGTTCGCCGTCTGCTTGTAGGAGGGCGATAGACTCAAAAACTACAGGACGAAATTTCGTACGACTTTCAGTGACTGATTCCTGAGGAAATTTTAGGTATATATGCAATTTGTTATGGTATGGTAGAAAGCTAACATTTAGGTACTCACATAATGAACGGAAACACAGTAAAGCCACTAATTAATTTGATAACTGTAATGAAAAACCTCAATACACTTTTAAAACGTTGATAAGATTACAATAAGCATTAATTTACGAGCATTTTAATTACCTAGGAAACCTAAACCAAGTACTAAACATAACGATTAAGGATAAAAACACTAAAAAACAATTATACTTAGTTTGTAATAGTTGCCAGAACAATCTTTACATGAGCTGCTGTTTACATGTGAACATTAGCTCATGACGATACCTAAGTACGTGTGTCGCCTGGACAGTCACCGCTACCATCAGTTGACTGGACAATCTCTTTACATGAGCTGCTGTTTACATGTGAACATTAGCTCATGACGATACCTAAGTACGTGTGTCGCCTGGACAGTCACCGCTACCATCAGTTGACTGGACAATCTCTTTACATGAGCTGCTGTTTACATGTGAACATTAGCTCATGACGATACCTAAGTACGTGTGTCGCCTGGACAGTCACCGCTACCATCAGTTGACTGGACAATCTCTTTACATGCAGTTGTCTATGCTCCAGGTTATTCCACAAGTCAACAGTTAATAAAAATTGTTTAAGTGACTTTTTACTTCACATAATTCATATTTTATAACTCACTTATAATTTTATTGTTAGCAATAAAAGATATTCTATTATAACTTCATAAAGCCTTGTAGTTACGGCTGAGTAAATTATATATTTCTAAACTTCCTATAGGTTTCATAAGATCTGACTTAGTAAGCAGAGCCGTATTATCTATAAGCCAAACAGGAAAGTGAGTGGGGCGCCAGATTTTAAGAGGGCACCGTGAGTCGCGCGTTCAGGCCTAACTACCGAGAAAGCAGCGTGGCGTCAAAAAAATTTAAGGGCGCCAATGAGGTGCTTGCTTAGGGTGCTCTATAGGCCTAATTCGCGTCTGACTAAGGGACAACAAATTAGACAGAGACCAGACAGTAAAGATCTTTGATTGAAGATTTTAGCTGCAACTCGCCTTCTCAATTATTGAATCAAGCCCATGCCTATCTCTCTTATGTAGAGGAGGTCCAGTAACCATAGTATAACAGTGGACTATAACTTGTTGTTAATGAAATAACATAACATAACATCACGCCTTTTATCCCAGAAGGGGTAGGAAGAGGTGCACACAGAAGTAACACCCACTTCACTATTTATGTTATGAGTCCCATGTAAAAGGGGGTGAGCCTATTGCCATATACCGGGCACAATTACAGACTCCGTGCTACTACTGAGTTTTAAAAACCAAGGCACGCTATGCCAATGGTTTTATGTTATTTATTTATTTATTTATCATTTTATGTACCTACACCACACAGACAATATTACACAGGACAACACATGTTATGTTAAAATTCAGTATGATTATAAGTTTGTCTGTGTGTTTGTTTGTTTTTTAATCAATCATGTTAACTCGTCGAGTACCGTCAATACAGACACAATTATAGAACAATAGGTTGCGGTCACCAGTGACCGCTTGGTGTTTGACAGTTTAAAACAGCTGAAGGGACTTAGATTGAATTTGGAACAGGGGTAGATTATGGTCTAGGATAGGATAACTCATAGGTTACTTTTTATTCCACAGGCACACAGGTGAAGCAGCTGGCAGAAGCTAGTATTCATCTTTTTATTAGTTACATAACTTCCAAATAGAACCAACATGCCATAGAATGTTTTTTTAATATTTTAATTCAATAAATAAATTATAAAACCAAGAATTCATTCATTGAATATATCTCTAACTATCCTTTTTAAATAATAAAAAGTAAATGTTTTAATTCGTTTTTTATTTCAATTTTTTTTTATATAAAGTACTTAGACTATGAATGTATTATCAAAGAGTTTCTGAACTCATATCTGTTAGATAATAACTATCTGATATATAACTGATAAAAAAACGCGCGAATTTTTAATCTGTAATAGTAATTAAACTACGCGGAAAAAAATTACGTAGTTATTTTTTTTTAATAAATTATTAATTATTAATGAAAAGTATATTCTACGTTTAAATAAACCACAGATAATTTAAAGACGATCGAAGACGGCATTAGTGTCGCAAGTGATCCGGAAAAACTGGTCGTAATAAAATGAATACATTAAAAATATACTTCTTCGTCTGACCTACATATGTAACAAAATTAATGATTTTTATAACAGTTTTACTTACCAAATATAATAACAGATTCCTCAAACACCACTCCACAAATCACTTTAATTATATTCTTGAAATATTACGTAAAAATACAACTTATTATTTTTCAACGATTTTCATACATAAATTCACTATTTTAACACAGCACTGCAGATTTAACTCGGTAATAATGTTCATTAACAGTTATACGACACTAATACGAATGTTTACAACTGTATACGGATAATTTTTCGCACTTATATCGATTAATTTACGGTCAATGAAAATATATACACTGAATTTATTAGTTTGTTAATATATGCTGGTGTTCTGTTGTGTTTATTATTAAACTGACGTCTATTTTAGGCCGTGCAGTCAGTCACATGATGCTAATTGAATGAATAAACAGTTTAAATTGAATAAAAAGTCATTGCAAGCTACTATGAAAGCAAGTAGCGAGTTATTTAGGCTGAATTTCGTCCTACTTTCGTTGGTAGGAAAATTGACAGGTAAAGTAAAGTGTTGTCAGACTGTTGCCTAAAAAACAACCAAAATAAGTTAGACATGTCGTACAAAGAAAAACGTCATAATAACTTAGTCCATATATTTTTTATAAATTTTTTTTTGGGCCGGCGTTTGACCGCTGGAGCACGTCATCCCATATTATTAAATATCCCATAATTAATTATGTATTGTGCGAGTTTGTTTTATTTTACTTATAGCTTGTTCTTTCAAAATATGTTTGTAAACATTTATTATGTAGCTCCTGATCACACGACGAGCGTATTCATTATGCAGGAGGTATTCATAAGTTTAATTATAAAACTACCGGTTCGTTATGTGTACCAAACTGTTGTATTATGGCTAACTATCCGTGCTATAGGAAAATTCTATTGCTAATGAACTCAACATAGCAAAAATTCAAGGTAGTTATCCGAAAAATCATCCATCTCTAATCGGTGGAAGTAATTCAAATCACGATGCTCGAAAACGTTACTCCGGCGGCAGTTCGGTAAATGTATTATGTATTCTTAAATGTTGTAATACTCAACTCCAATGTGAACTTTACGAACATAAAAATGTCACTTCATGAAGTTCTTTGTGCAAATATTCAAATAAAAGTTTTTAAAAACTAATGGTTACTTCAATTTATTATATTTTGTTACTAAATTATTATATTTTTATGGGCTGGCAGTACATCACCTGAAACGTCATATACATTTCTTTTTACGCAAGAACCAAACATGTTTTTGACCAACCATGTTAGTGTGAAGTACAATGTTAATTTCAAAATTAATTACTCATTAATTAGAATAACAGACTTAATTCGAAAAGTTTATTTAATTATCGGCGGAACTTTCCAATAAGAATATATCTACAAAATATTGAACTTTGAAATGAATCTTTGACTTCGTTCCTGGACCCCACCATTACATTTGACAACTTTGAATGACATGACCTGACAATCCTGACATTTAAAAAAAAAGTAATTCATATCGGGTCGGTCGTCTCGTTCATGATTTTCTTATTAGATTCCAATAAGCGAATTGGAAAAATCAAGTGATTTTAATCTTAAAATCGACGAATGATATACTTATTTGTGTAAAATGGCGACTCCAGCGGACGTGAGAGCAATATTCGAGGCGAGATTGAAGGAAACATCGCCACCACCGGACTTCCATCCACTCGACTTGGAGCGAGCAAAAGATGAAAAATACTTGAAACGAGTGTTACAACACACGGATAAAGATGCTAAAGAGGCGGCAAACATGCTCTGGGACATCTGTGTTTGGCGAAAATCTGTCGGTGCGAATGATATCAATGAATCTAACATTCGAATGGATTACGTGAAAGAAGGTATTTTTTTTACTCACGGAAGAGATGTAGATGGTAGTCTTTTGTTCATTTTTAAAGCTAAAATGCACGTTAAAGGCCAAAAAGATTATGAGGAGGTGAAGAAAATCCTCATTTATTGGTTTGATCGCGCTGAAAGAGAAGAGGGTGGCAAACGAGTCACTTTGTTCTTGGATATGGAAGGTAGCGGGCTGGGCAACATGGATATGGAGCTAGTCAAGTACTTGATCACACTGTTCAAACTGTACTACCCATACTTTTTGAACTATATCGTGATTTACCAGATGCCTTGGGTCTTGTCAGCCGCCTTCAAAGTCGTTAAGACCTTACTCCCTGCTAAAGCCGTTGAACGAATGAGGTTTGTTACTAAAGACACATTAAAGGATGTCGTTGCCCCTGAACAAGCTTTAGTCAGCTGGGGCGGCAAGGATAACTACGTATTTGAATTCATTCCGGAGAACCGATCAGAACACACTCCGAAAAAGGTTACGTTTGCTGAGCAGGGAGACAGTCAACATTCTCCTGGAGAGATGCTCCGTCTTGTTCCAAATGATACAATCATTTTCAAAAGTGATGGGGATGAAATATCAGGACAATTCACCATTACGAATATGGATGAAAGTGCAGTTTCTTTCAAAATAAGAACAACAGCCCCGGAGAAGTTTAGAGTAAGACCAAGCTCTGGTACATTGGCCACCGGAGCCTCCCAAACCGTCTTAATCGTAGTCCAACCTGGAATACATCTCCGAACCGTAACCAAAGATAGATTCCTCGTTATGTCCATCCAAATACCAAAAACTGATGTGACACCGAAAGAACTGACGCAAATCTGGCACTCGTCCACTGGTAGCAAGACTGATGAATACCGCCTCAAATGCCAGTTCCCGGAGAAAGATATACCAAAGAATGGTAATGTTACGGATGGGACATCTCTTGAGAAGTCTGACTCCGCAAGTTCAGCGCTGAGTAACCTGGAACAGAACTATGCGAAGCTGCACCGAGACTTGAAACAGCTGAAGTTGTTGCAATTTGTCACTTTAACGATGACCGTGCTGGTTGCGGTTTTAGGATACCTATTGTACGAGAATATGGTCGAAGAGAATCGGTATTGTGAGCGTATGTAGCTGTTACAGAATGTGGTGTCCAACGCCACTTTCAAAATAGACTATGTAATGGCTATTTTTGCTGCATTACTCTCTATTAATGTGTTACTATACATCATGTATAGCAAATTAGTCTATAAAATAAGTTTATTATATGTGCATTAACTTTGCGGTTGTGGGTGGGTTTTTATGAACATTCTCTATAATTAACGGACTTAAACTGGCATCAAAAGTGATTAATTTGTGAAATAATTCACTAATTTGGACAATTGTTTATTTTGTTCGTACTCAGTCTGTGTAAAGAAAGCATTTCTGGAGGGTCTACGAACAAGTGCACTACTGGTTTTGTCATAAATTATGTAAGTAGTACCTTATTATTACAGTATAAATTTTTCTTTTAAAATATCTTCTCCGATGAATCCAGTATCGCATATGTAGTAAGAGGTCACTTATCCAACATAATTTTTACTAATGTGCAGACATTGGGCATTCAATTTTTAAACAGGTCCAGTGATTTGTCAAATATGACCTCATGCTACTTTGGCGGTATCTGGATATCAGAAAACCGGTAGCCCATTGAAACACCAAAACTTATGAAGCCATAAATCTCTAGATTTAACTCCCAGATTTAAAATTATGCATCAAGTAAGACAGCAGCTACATTTTTGTTTTTGAATGGCAACTGATTTTCCAATACAGTGCTGTCAACTACACTGCCAATGATCTTTGTGGAATTAATGTGGGATTTTTTTAATATATTTGTTGGGCCGACGTTTTGACCACTATCTCGCCTGGTAAGCTATGATGCGGTCTACGATGGAGCACGTCGTCCCATAAGCAACATATTCACTCGGGCCTTTAAGACTCCCAGGTTATACCCTTATTTATTAGTAGCTGCAAAGGACGAAACATTTGGGTTAGAAAACATAATTATCGCTAGCTACTTGCGCGGTTTCACTCGCTCTCCTCGGCACCTATTTATCGTAGCGTGATATTTTATAGCTTATAGTCTTCCTCAACAAATGGACTATTCAACACAAAAATATTTTTTCAAGTAGGCCCAGTAGTCCCTGAGATTAACGCGTTCATACAAACTCTTCTCAGCTTTGTATACTTCAGATAAGTATAAGATTAAATATTTATTTTATTTAATAGATAATTATAGAGAATGGTCATAATTAACATGTTGTACCATATCTTGATGTTTTGTATGAATTAGGGTGTTTAGGTATATGTATTTATATTATTGTCAATTCTGAGTTAATGAAAATTGGGTATTTGTCATCACCAAAAGTAAATTATTTCGACTGTTCAATACAATAGAATATTGAAAAATAATCACACTTTTATTAATTGATTTTATGACCAACTTAATTTTAGCATTCTTCCAGCTAATTTTTAAGAAATAACTATGCTGTTTGACGCTGAAAAGACGTGACGTCACAATACACAATCTCGTACAAAATTTATAGAAAACTGTCGTTTTTGACTGTTTGCAAAAAATTTTGAATTTGACAAGTTGGCAAGTACTCAATTATAATTTGCTGTAAAAAAGCTTAAAAGTTCTTAGGTAATTGTGCAGTTTTTGAAAAGCCTAAAATTTTGCATGTAATTCTTGTTTTTTGATGTGTAGAAACAGAAATTAAAATTGTCAGCGTCTTCTTTGAGAAGAAAATTACTTTCTCAGGCATATGGTAGATGACTAATTTTTATTTAAATGTCCGTCTGGTAGATTATTTTAAAACATTAGACACGTATTTTTTATTTTCTTACGGAAACAATACTTTCGGCGATTTCAATTATCGTGTGACGTCACTTGTGTGTACGTTTTATACTAAACTAGCGACCCGCCCCGGCTTCGCACGGGTGCAATATGCATGTATTATACATACAAACCTTCCTTAAGAATCACTTTATCTATTAAAAAAAACCGCATCAAAATCCGTTGCGTAGTTTTAAAGATCTAAGCATACATACGGACATACAGCGAAAGCGACTTTGTTTTATACTATGTATTGATAATGACGTAGCTCCCATTTCTAAACTTCGATCGTTTTATATCAGTGTTGTTTTCTTATCCGACAGAATAAAAAAATACGTGTTTAATATTTTTTTATTACCTAGCTGACAGACGAATTAGATTTTTAATTTTCATATTGTATCATCATCAAAATATATTAGATTTGGCAAAAAACTTCTAAAACATTCCTTGTAAATAAAAAGACTTTACAAATTATGCATTTATGTTTTTCATGGATGAATCATCTTAAAATGTTAGATAAGTAGTACACTGATGTTTTGGAACTGCAAAAATTTGATGAAAAATTTTTTATCGGATATAAACGTGTTTGGAAAATGAAACATTGCCGGAAAAAGGCTATAACTAATTTGATCTATGGAACTTTACACAAAATGTATCTTTATACAAAGTTAATAAATAGTCTTTAAACTAAAATTATCTTTTTAAATCGTCATAAAAAAGTAGTTTAAAATAAATGCCTAAAAAACAAAATTATCCCATACTTAAGCCCCTTTTGCCCTTTTGGAATACGAAAACGGATTTAGCCTGACCGGATTTCGGCATTATACTTGAAAATAATTCCTACAATACCTCTAAAATGAACTACCTAGGTCGATAAAAATAGATACAATAGTTGACTCATACGAAAAGATACCGTAAGATACATATTTTATCAATGTATTACGGATAAATATTGTTTTGGCTTGAATTCGATCCAACCTTTATATGGTCGGTGTTGAATCAATTCAGTCGCGTCGGCTTTTAGACCCACGCCAATTGTTCACAATCAATTTATCGTCTGGGCGTTGGCATGGGGACTCATTCGATGTAATTTTCATATCTTAACAGCAGCCCATGTAAAGAGATTGTCCAGTTAACAGATAGTAGCGGTGACTTTTCAGGCGACACACGTACTTAGGTATCGTCATGAGCTAATGTTCACATGTGAACAGAAGTTCATGTAAAGAGATTGTCCAGTTAACAGATAGTAGCGGTGACTGTCCAGGCGACACACGTACTTAGGTATCGTCATGAGCTAATGTTCACATGTAAACAGAAGTTCATGTAAAGATATTGTCCAGTCAACTGATGGTAGCGGTGACTGTCCAGGCGACACACGTACTAAGATATCGTCATGAGCTAATGTTCACATGTAAACAGCAGTTCACGTAAAGATATTGTCCAGTCAACTGATGGTAGCGGTGACTGTCCAGGCGACACACGTACT